AAAATTGACTTGTGGTGCAACAAGTAACACAGTAGGAGGTCACTTGACTTATGGCCCCCAAACAAAAAAGAAGAACCAAATGAAACAATAATGGAAATTAAACAGCTTCACTCACATAAATTTTGGAAAATATACATTCACACACATACACACAAGCACATTCATGTCTTTAAATTTATTATTAGAGGTAAAACCTTTAATTTGGAAAAATTTTCCATTCCAGAAAGAAAAATATATTTTTTGCATAGAAAATTTCCAAAAAAATAAAAACAATTGGGAAATTTTAATCACCGCTTAATGGAAGTATTTTTCCTTATCCTGCTTTTACAGAAGACATGACAACTTAGTTCATGCAAAGTATTTTATGTAGTTTGAGCAGAGACCGGAATCTTATATGAAAATGCGAAAGAAGTTTTTTTTTTTAAATAGGAAAACATTAGGGAATTATTTTAATTGTTACTAAAAGTATCAAATGTAGGTTCATGAGGAATTAAAATCTTGTATTAAATAATAAAATAAAAATATTATGTTTGTTTTTTTTTTTATATTTTCCATTTCTGATTTTAGAGGGCGCTTTAGAGTCATTTAATTTTTTTTCTGAATTTTCTGATTTTTTTTTTTTTTTTTTTTTTTTTTTTTTTTGAAAAAAGAAGCATCCGTTTTAAAGTCTTTTATTTTAAATTTGCCTCAATTGCTGCGACTAAAAATAGTCAATGCGCTTCAATTTTTTCCTTGAAATGAGCCGAAATATTTCATATTGATGTAATAACAATTGAAAATATCTAATTTGGATTAACGACCCCATAAAGTGGAAAAATCTGTTTAATGTTAAGCTTCAAGTGAATATGCATTTCCAAAAAATAAATATTTTGAAAAATATTTGAAAACTATAAATGTGTGTGGTTGGCAAATGTTCAGCGACATATTTATGGGTTGTTTTTTTGGGGATTTCCATTGAAGAGGAGTTTCTAAAATGGCGCTAAAATTCTAAAATGGTACCTATTGGTATTATGAGAACGGATAGAGGTAAAAATTTGGAATTCGGTACTAGAATACAGGTTGCAAAGTAAAATTGATATATGATATTTCACCACGGTTAAGCTTCGACCCACCTGACATACACATACCTCACAGAGACGCCTGGGCCCATAACAACCCACATTTCCGCGACATAGCTGTTTATACCGACGGTTCAAAGATGGACTGTGGAACGGGAGCTGGTGTCTTCTGTCGGTCTAAAAGGCCACAGACCTGCTGGTCACGAGGAATATTGAGGTCAGCGGTCCGGTGACTATATATATCGATAGTCAAGCGGCACTGAAGGATTTAAATTCCTTTACCATTAAGTCTAGTGCTGTTTTGAACTGCAGGAAAGCCTTGGAAAACACTGGGTTGTCCATCAAGCTCTGTTGGGTTCCTGGTCATTATAACATTCCAGGAAACGAGACTGCAGACGAATTGGCCAGACTAGGATCCGAATCAACTACAATTGAAGTAGATAACTCGGTTAAACCACCACTGTGCCACTCCCTACAGGTCATTCACAGATATTACTCCCAAAGAATCCAACAAAAATGGCTGGACGAAATGGGTTGCACCATTTCCCAAAGGATCTGGCCCACACTCTCAGAGAAGAGAACAAAGTCGCTACTGTCATTGTCGAAACCTGTTCTACAGCTTGTGGTGGGTATCATCACAGGGACAGCGACGACATTGACTACTGTAGGACCTGTCAAGATGAAGAAGAAATCGAGTCAGTCGAATACTTGCTCTGCCACTGCCCAGCACTCATTAATGTGAGACACAGGTTGGTTGGAGAACTAGGGTCACATGATCTGTCTTCTTTTTCTAACACTGACCCTATTGTAATCCTTCAATTAGCCAGAGCTAGCCAAGTGGCTAAAGACGACACGGTAAATTCCTCAGCCGTCACACTCTATAACTCTATCTCCTATCTTCTATCAACCACTCCTTCCTTTTTTCTCACTATTCTTCTAGGATGATCACAATGAACCTATAGGTATCCGAGTGGAGCGGTTGCCATATGGTAACTGCGCGTCCTTTAACCTAACCTATTAGGGTAGCTGTCCATATTCGGAAATGTGTCTATAATTGTACGAAAAGTACTTAATGTTACTAAATTTGGTATTGAGTGAATGTAGAGAGCTGGAATCCTAAAATTTGACATTGAGGTCTCTATTGGTATATGGTGTTGAGGTCTGGTGTTGAGATCTGGTGTTGGTTTTGCAAATGCTCGAAAAGTACCAAAATTAGTACAATATTTTGGATCACTGGTGGTGTCTAGGATGCAGAGATGTAGATTGTTTTGGATATGCGTACTAAGTATCACTACATTGTGTGTTGAGTACAAAGATAGGTTATAAGCCTAGGTTGTGATGAGTTAAACTAACCACTAAGAACCAGAAATTGCAGCCGATATGGTCGGATCTTTCGGCCGAAACTCTCAGAATACCGAAAAGAAAAGGCTTCCCTTACATGATTGCTTTTACAAATAGTGAACCGACTGCACTTTTTTTTGCAAGAAGGTCAACCACCCCCAAAGAACAAGAAATGTTGAATCGCAGGTGCTTTGGTTGAAAATTGGGGCTATATCAAAAAAGTGGACCTACGATATTGTCGGATCTTTCAGCCGACAAGGAAGGCATCCCTTCCTGATTGATTTACCAAATAGTGAACCGACTGCATTTTTTTTTTGGCAAGAAGGTCACCCACCCGCAAAAAAACAATAAATGTTGAATCGCAGCTGCTTTGGTTGAAAATTGGGGTTATACCAAAAAGTGGACCTACATTGCAAAATTTTTGTGAAGAGTCAAATCAACCACAAAGGACACAAAATTACAAACTACAACTGATTTGTTTGGAACTTGAGGTCAATACCTACGAAATACTGAAAATCCGAAAGTACCATTATATGAGGCTATTTCAAAAAGTAGACCTACTTTAAATGTTTTTTTTTCTGTTTTTGCGAGGAGTTAAACTACCACTAACAAAGAATCCAAAATGTCAAATTACAGTTGATTTTATTGGAAATTAGTACTGAGATCTTAAAAACACCTATAATCAGGAGGTAACATTGTATGGGGCTATAGTGAAAATTTGACCTACATTGAATATTTTTTGCACGAAGTTTAACTACCTGCAAAAACGAATGGAAATTGTGAATGAGATGAGAGTATACGGGGGATATCATGGAGTGTACCGGCGTTAAATATTTTTTGCTATGAGTTTCATTAACCACAGAGAAACCGAAATATTAAATTAAAGACGATACCGTTGAAAATTTGAGTTAATAGCTTAGAAATACCGAAAATTAGTAGGTACAGTTACAGGGGTGGGCTATACCAAAAAGTGGTCCTAAAGTTCCAATTTTTTGCGAGTATTTAAACTAAGCACACAGAAGTCGGGAAACCAAATTGCAGCGAAGTTATTTGCAAATTCGTCCATAAACCTTTAAAATATCGAAAATCCGGGGGCACAATTATATGGGGACAACACCACAAAAATGCGTATTCATTCCAAAATTACAGCGGATTTTCCTTCAAATACCGCAAATCTGAAATGTATCCTTATAAGGGTCTATACCTACACATAGACCGATATATTTCATTTTCGATACCACATATCCTGAATATTATATTAACGCCTGCGTAGGTATTTTACTTATTTAAACAGTGTAGCGATCCAAATGGGATCCTATTTCAATTTTCTGAAAGGTTTTATAAAAAAATCGGGTCCAAAAGATCGATTACTTTGCTTTAACTGCCGAGCGGGTTAAGTATACCCATCATGTGACCAGTTGATGGATAGGCGTTTTCATAAGGTTTCAAATACGGTCTATGTCGATTTAGTAGATCTGCGTCTAATATCCAGATGACCGGGTGTGTCACCCAACAGAAAACTCTTTCGCGAAATCTGATATAATAATAATTTCTGCAGAGATATATTTTCCTGATGAGATAATATATATCCTGATATATCCTATTTTAATTTTCTGATGGCTTTTATAAAAAAATCCGAGTCCAAAATATTGTTTATTTTGCCATAACTCCCGAGCGGGTTAAATATCCCCATCATGTGATCTCTAGTTGGAAAGGAGTTTCCATAAGCTTTCAAATTTACTTTATCGGCTTAGTATTTACGGATCTAAACCGGGTCTTGAACAAGATATCCGAGTGTGTCACGCAAGATATAATAATCAGGACAAAATTATCTACCTCTGAAAAAATAGGAAAAAAAATGAAATCCTCTGAAATGGCTCCTTTTTGTCATGTTATTTATTTTTTTATTTATTTTTTTTTCTTCGTTTTTAATTTTTTTAAATCTAACACTTTACTCATGTAATTATTTTACTAATTTTTTGAATTTTGAATATTTATTTTATTTATTTATTATCTAACACTTTAATCAGTCCCTAATGTCAATTACCATCCTCCTACATGGTAAACGTTATTAACAATTCGACACATTTAAGCCTCAATCTATGATCTATATAACCTCTTCCACTCCTTTTTCATATTTTAATTTCTTTGTTTTCAATTAATTTTACAAAAAAAAAAATCTCATTCTTCATTTTCTTGCATTCGTTATTATTTTTCTTTGATCAAAATTATTCTTTTCTCTCTTTTAAATATAAACTTTAGCCTTAATCTATCTTCTTTGTAATCCCTTCTACCCCTTTTTTATTTTTTAAATTATTTTTTTCCACTAATTTCACAAAAAATCCATATTTTCATTTCATTCGCAATATTTTTTTCGTTTAAATCGCGTGCCTAGGATTGCCCACCCGTGCACGTTTAATGTCCTTGCTCATTGTGTTTTGTTCTCCACACTGCTGTTTATTTGCATGTCATTATTTGCTGTTTATGAGCAACTTGTTGCATGTCAACACCACAATGAGAACACGAGAGAGAAAGAGAACAGAAAAAAACCGCAAAAATGTTACATTGCCAGAAAACTAAATTCAAATTTAAGACACTTACCAATTCCAAAGACATGTTTTGGACTGCTTGTCATCCAGACAGTCATTTTGACAGAGTTAGAGAATACAGCTTGTCAAAAGAAAAAATATCCACAAAATTCTCCACGGGGTGGGAAATGCAATAATTTGAAATAGATTGTTTTTTTTTATTTATTTTTTGTTAACAAAAAGAACAAAGTTCAAATAGTTCAATTACAATTGCCACTGCGACTGGTTCTCGTTCGAACACACACACAGACACAAATTCACGTTAGGACACACAAAAACAAACAACTACACGAATCACTTCACTAGGTCAGACAGCATTTTTTTTTTATCTGGGAGACAAATGATATTCACTTTGAAGTATGCCATTATTTGGATTTCACTTTAATAGATTCATAGTTGTTGTTGTTGTTGTTACAGTTGCTTGGTTTTGATTCGAATGAGTTTTGCAACTCTTTGGCACCGCCAAACGACGATACTTTGATGATCACACACAACACGAATTTAAATAATAACGTACCCCGTCGTCTTCGTCATATTTAGAAGATACATTTCACTTTTCTTCATTTTTTTGTGTTGCTGTTTTTTTTTTACTTTTTATCTTCACACAACATTCCACACCAAGGTGATTTGGTGTTGGGTTCTCAGGCAATGGAAAAAAATAGATTTCGTTTTCTTTATTATGTTTCAATTAAATTTATTATTGCGTTTTGTTTTTGCTTTTTTAATTGGGGAGTTGGCTCGGTCAGCAGCAGCAGCAGCGAGCAACAATAATAACAAACACACACGAACACAAAAAACGAATGTAAACACAAACGGGCCTATCACTCACTCACTGGCCGCAACGTCGTCGTCGTCGTCGTTAGGTTTAATCTTCAACAAGAAAAGTCATATCTCATTTCTTCTTTCTCACCGTAATTCGTCATTATTTTTGTTGTTGTTGTTGGCGATCGACATTGGCTTGACTTGACTGCGTTGGAGTGTAGTGTTGTTTTTATTAGTGGATGACAAATTCTTCTCTTCTTTTTTCTTTATGTTATTAAACGAAATGCATATAATTCTTTACATTATTGCATTGTGCGTGACATTTGGTGTTGCATGCAAGTATTTGCTATATTTTGTTGTTGTTATTATTTTATTTTCACATTTCACTTTTCATTCGTCACAATACACACGCGACAAAACAGCGAAACACACACCCTACTCGTCGGAGAAAAGTTTTTTAAATGACAACTCTCCCACAAGCCAGGGATACATAGGTCGAGTTGTGACCAATCGATTAATCGTTGCGGAAATATCGCAGACTTTTATCGGTAATCGATTTTTTTATCATGTTTTCAGTTTGTTAGATTGCGTTTACACCAGATAGATTTTGTTTAACTGATAGCTGTATTTAACTACCACATAAAAACTTGGACTATTATTTTACCCTGTCTTTACAAAAGACAAGACAACTGACTTCATAGAATAATTTTGTGTGTCTGGTTACTATTACACAGTTTTTTTTTTCAGCCGCTTCTTTATAATAGAGTAAGGAAGTTTTATTCTTTTTTGCCGGAAAAAGTGAAAAGTAAGGAGACCCTGATAAAAATTTAAAACAATAAGCTGATTTGTCAAAACAAAGCAATTAGGTTTTGATTTGCAAAATAAAGATATTTTTAAATTGCTTGTCCAAATATAATTCATTACAAGAAGAAGAAGTTGAGTCTGAAGGTCCAAAGGTGAGAATGCATAAAACGCGTTTTTGACTGGCTTATGTCTTCCGCTGGCTTCTTCATAGAGGAACAAAGGAGTTTTAGGTTGACTTAGTTCGATTTTGACCAGAAGCCAGAGGACGACTTAAACCAGTCAACTAAGTGATTTATATATTCCTACCCATGGCAGAAGAATACAGGTAGACGCGTCGACACAGCTGCTGGGACAATGAACTGTCAAACCAATCTTGGAATTGAAAATGTTGAATGAAAAATTATTTAAACTTGTAAAAATAGTTGAAAAACGCGAATTATATTAGTCTCCGAATGACGTAGTATAAGAAAACATATAAAAATCTACATATATTTGAAAAAACATTTGCATTTTTTGACATATCAATGCTCCCAAGCGTTGATGCCATGATTCCTACCCATGCCAGAAGAATACAGGTAGAAGTATCAACGCTTGGAATCATTGATATGTCAAAAAATTTAAATGGTTTTTCAAAGATACGTCGATTTTTATATTTTTTCTTATACTATGACATTCGAAGGTTATTATAATTCGTGTTTTCAACAATATTTATAAATTTAAATAATTTCTCATTCAACATTTTCAATTCCAAAATTGGTTTGACAGTTCATTGTCTCAGCAGCTGTGTCGATGCGTCTACCTATATTCTTCTACCATGAAAAACATCAAAACAACGAATAATAAATTTATAATAAATTTTCTGTCATTGAATGATAGATACCGCTGAAAACGTGACACAAATCATCCAAATGCCGAAAAATGGGGGGACAGGTTGTTAGGGTGCAATGTTAAATTTGTAGATATTTTTCTGGTATTTGGCTTTAATTTTCTGTAATTTACCTTGTCAAATTTCACCAAATAAAAAACAGGTTCCCATTTCTGATTTCTGTGTATACAATATACATTTTGACAATGGGATGTTGGCCAATGAATAATTTTGCAAAAAATGCATGACTTTACCTTCTTAATTCTACCATGGGAACGGTCTTCGTTACATATTACAGTGGTTTCTATTTACCTGCAACAACATTAGCTGCGCATTGGCCTTTGCAGACCAAAAAACTTTTGTTATGCCATTTTTTTCTGAATCCCTTTATTTGAATTGTATTTAAGTGCCCAATCGATAGCTGCACATTGGACATTCCTGCCTCGAAAATTTGGTAATTTTTTTTAATTTGGTTACAAAAGTTGTATTTATCTGAACAAGAAAATTTTTTGCAAACTCAAAAAAGACACTAAAAACTACCACTTCGTTTTTGTATTCGCAAAAACAATAACAACACAAGAAAAGAGCATGCATTAAAAACATATTCTCGCTTCCTCTCCCACACTAAAAGATGGTTATGCTGGATAAAACACCACTGATGCTCAAATACATACGAATAGAAAATTAAAGATACCTGCACTTTTTGTGCACGTAAGTAAAATTAAAGATACCTGCTTCATTGTGCAGATAAGTGCAATGAAGCTACCTGCATTTTGGGCATTGCTGCACAAGATGTCGTGCAATTTTTGATTGTGCAGGTAAGCAAAAAATACTGTACATGAACAGAGAGTAACTCAATACGTCAACGTTACGTTAATAGCCATTTACATCGACGTCTGACTGACCATGACATTTCCTTTTTTGCTCAGCAATTGAAATTTTCAAACACTACAAATTAGTTGATCAAATTCTGTCAAGAAGATATAAAGCAAACATCGACTTTTCGATTTTGTGCAAAAAGTGAAAATTTGAATTTTTCAACAAACGACCGTCAAGAAGTTATTATTATTACTTTCATGTGTTATTGATTCGATTGGAATTCGTGGTTAAATTAAGTGTACATCAAATATTTAAAATATTAGCATTGATGTTGCAGTAAAATCAGTGCTCTCGTGTGGTAATTTCACAATAATTAGCTTAGCATGAAACCTGTTGCATTGTAGAAGTGTTTTTTGTATACGTTTTAATATGAGTTGCATAGAATGGTATAGTTGGGGATCCCCTTTGCCCGGATGCTGTTGTGTGGACATTAGTCACTTGATAGCTGTTAGGGTTCTATAGATTGTTTAAGAGAATTACCGACTATTGTGATAGGGGTCTGAAAATCGTTTTTATTAGAGCTAATATTAACGGCGTATTAGTGATGTAGCCAGCTCTGTTTCGTTTTAACGGTACAAATGCGAACTCGAAAGAAAATCAACAATTCTCTAAGTATTTCTTCAATTTAAAAAAAAATCGAAAGATTAAAAAAATGCAAGGAATGTTTTTTTAGCTATATGTGTTAGAGTTTTTAACACACGAAATTGTATGAGTATTCTAATTTTTTATTGTTCATATCACTGGATTCATGTCACTCCATCTTGAAAATGTAAAGAGTCAGCACTAATTTGGCATACATACTGTGGACCACTACATGGGGTGCTTTACAAAATTCTGGGGTGCTTTACAAAGAAATATCTGTCTGCGGTAAACAAGACTACTTTAGAATATCTTGAAAGAGTACAATGAAAAGTCCTTAAAAAGTTTTTTTTTTGTCCAGGTATGTTTGATAAAACGAAAGAGCCAACAAATGTTGGGGTTCTGAGTAAATCAAGGAACTCTTCACTATTCGGAGAGAGGACACAGCAAGTAGAACCATTTATATTTGGCTCGGCAAACAACAAATCACAATCTGCAGGAACTTTTGGGGAAACGATGAAAAATAATACAAACTGTTTTGGAAGTAATGGAAATTTTGAGATTTCCTTTAAATGTACGTAGCGATGGATACCGATAAAAATGTAACACAAATCATTCAAATGCCGAAAAATGGGGGGACAGGTTGTTAGGATGCAATATTAAATTTGTAGATATTTTTCGGTATTTGGCTGGATTTTTCTGTAATTTACCTTGTCAAATTTCACTGAATAGAGAACAGGTTTCCATCATTGATTTCTGTGTATACAATATAAATGTTGACAATGGAATGTTGTCAAATAAATAATTTTGCAAAAAAAGCCAACATATGGCTGCATGACTTTACCTTCTTAATTCTACCATGGGAACAGTTATCGTTACATTCCTGCATTACTGGAACAGGCTAATATGACCGTACTATGAATTCAAAAAAAGATTTCATTTATTATTACTATTATTATTTTACTCTTTGCTATATATTTACTCACTTTAAAAAGCACGATTATATTACATGAACAGGGAGTAACTCAATACGTCAACGTTACGTTAATAGCCATTTACATCGACGTCTGACTGACCATGACATTTCCTTTTGTGCTCAGCAATTGAAATTTTCAAACACTACAAATTAGTTGATCAAATTCTGTCAAGAAGATATTAAGCAATAATCGACTTTCCGAGTTTCCGATTTTGTGCTAAAAGTGAAAACTCGAATTTTACAACAATCGACTGTCAAGAAGTTAGTATTATTAATCTCAGTTATTAATTCGATTGAAATTCGTGTTTAAATTAAGTGTACATCAAATATTTAACATATTAGCATTGATGTTGCAGTAAAATCAGTGTTCTCGTGCGGTAATTTCACAATAATTAGCTTAGCTTATCAAACTGATGAAGCAAGCTGTTGTGTATTTTGGAATAAAAATCAGCACGCGATGAATAAGATTTAATTCTATAACTCTTTATTTAATATTTAACACAACAAAGTTTTATAAAATATAAAAATGCTGATTGAACGGTTTGATGATTAAAATGGCCGTGAATTATGCTAACAATAACTACAATAACTTGACAGCAATGGCTAATAGCTGCAAAGTAACGTTTAACAAATTAGTACAAACAGAGACATTTTCATTCCAAGGGAACATTTAACATTACAGGTTTACCACCCAATATTAATAAAGTAACTACTACTACTGAAAAGCACCACATGAGCTGAAACATTGGATTGGTGTAAATACATGCATATTTACTACGACATCTGTTGCATTGTACAAGTCTTTTTGTATACGTTTTAATATGAGTTGCATAGAGTGGAATGTTGGGGGATCCCATTTACCCGGATGCTCTTGTGTGGACATTAGTCACTTGACAGCTGTTAGGGTTCTATAGACTGTTTAAGAGAATTACCGGCTATTGTGATAGGGATCTGAAAATCGTTTTTATTAGAGCTAATATTAACGGCGTATTAGTGATGTAGCCAGCTCTGGGGGCCTGTTTCGTTTTAACGGTACAAATTCGAACTCGAAAGAAAATCAAAATAATTCTCACAAATCTCCAAGTATTTCTTCAATTTAAAAATAAATCGAAAGATTAAAAAAATGCAAGGCATGTTTTTATTTGCTATATGTGTTAACACGCGAAAGTGTATAAATGTTCTAATTTTTTATCGTTCATATCACTGAATTCATGTCACTCCATCTTGAAAATGTAAAGAGTCAGCACTAATTTGGCATACATACTGTGGACCACTATATGGGGTGCTTTACAAAAATCTATAATTTTGTTATGACAAAACTTCCAAATACAAAACTTCCAAAAATAGAGTAGAAATATCTGTCTGTGGTAAACAAGACTACTTTAGAATATCTTGAAAGAGTACAATGAAAAGTCCTTAAAAAGTTATTTTTTTTTTTATCCAGGTATGTTTGATAAAACGAAAGAGCCAACAAATGTTGGGTTTGGGAGTAACTTAAGGAACACTTCACTATTCGGAGAGAGGACACAGCAAGTAGAACTATTTATATTTGGCTCGGCAAACAACGAATCGCAATCTGAAGGAACTTTTGGGGCAATGATGAAAAATAATACAAACTGTTTTGGAAGTAATGGAAATTTTGAGATTTCCTTTAAATGTAAGTAGCTATATGTCTTTTTTTACATATTTCAATTCACGCGAATTTTTCCATAAATAGTTCCACAAAGTTCCGAGCAATTCCCGAAAAACACCAAAGCGACATTTGGTAGAGGTTTCGATCAAAGAAAATCAAGAAAATCGACTACCATGTTGGCGTTTGGTGATAAGAACATTTCGATTTATCGTAAACTATTTGGCAGCCCTCAAGAGACACCGGCAAACTCTAGTTCTGGCACTAGTGATTTTTTCAAAATATTTGGCTCATTGAGTTCAAACCCAAACCGTGATTTTAATCGAAGTGCAAACAACACCTCGCATAAACAGACAACAAACACGCTTTTTGGTCAAGATGGGACATCCTCAAATACCAGTGGTTTCGGTGCAGAAAGAAACTCAGCTTCCAGTAAAGCTCCAGATGGAAATACCTCAGCTGACCTTTTTGGTCAACCCAAAAACCAACCCCTTACATTTTCCTCTTCAAAGCCTTCCGCTACAACGGCATGCAAAAATTTACATGATAGCACAGCTGAATGTTCAAGACCTATGGCCGGCTTTGGTGAACTTCAACACTCCACTAGTTTTGGCTCTACGACAACTCTGAGCTCAACCCAAAATTGTGTTGACCAAAACGCAAACAACAGACCGCAAAAGCAGACCACAAACTCAAGTGCCAATAGCTTCAAACCTTTACAGAAACCTTTGGTCACAGACTCGGCTTCCAGAATACCTCCAGAGGAAAATACCTCAGCTGACCTTTTTGGTCAACCCAAAAACCAACCCCTTACATTTTCCTCTTCAAAGCCTTCCGCTACAACGGCATGCAAAAATCTACATGATAGCACAGCTGAATGTTCAAGACCTATGGCCGGCTTTGGTGAACTTCAACACTCCACTAGTTTTGGCTCTACGACAACTCTGAGCTCAACCCAAAATTGTGATGATCAAAATGGAAACAACAGACCGCAAAAGCAGACCACAAAGTCAAGTGTCAATAGCTTCAAACCTTTACAGAAACCTTTGGTCACAGACTCGGCTACCAGAATACCTCCAGAGGAAAATACCTCAGCTGACCTTTTTGGTCAACCCAAAAACCAACACCTTACATTTGCCTCTGCAAAGCCTTCAGCTACAACGGCAAGCAAAAATCAACATGATAGCACAGCTGAAAGTCCAAGACCTATGGCCGGCTTTGGTGAACTTCAACAGTCCACTAGTTTTGGCTCTACGACAACTCTGAGCTCAACCCAAAATTGTGTTGATCAAAACGCAAACAACAGACCGCAAAATCAGACCACAAAGTCAAGTGCCAATAGCTTCAAACCATTACAGAAACCTTTGGTCACAGACTCGGCTTCCAGAATACCTCCAGAGGAAAATACCTCAGCTGACCTTTTTGGTCAACCCAAAAACCAACCCCTTACATTTTCCTCTGCAGAGCCTTCAGCTACAACGGCATGCAAAAATCAACATGATAGCACAGCTGAAAGTCCAAGACCTATGACCGGCTTTGGTGAACTTCAACAGTCCACTAGTTTTGGCTCTACGACAACTCTGAGCTCAACCCAAAATTGTGTTGATCAAAACGCAAACAACAGACCGCAAAAGCAGACCACAAAGTCAAGTGCCAATAGCTTCAAACCTTTACAGAAACCTTTGGTCACAGACTCGGCTTCCAGAATACCTCCAGAGGAAAATACCTCAGCTAACCTTTTTGGTCAACCCAAAAACCAACCCCTTACATTTTCCTCTGCAGAGCCTTCAGCTACAACGGCAAGCAAAAATCAACATGATAGCACAGCTGAAATTCCAAGACCTATGGCCGGCTTTGGTGAACTTCAACAGTCCACTAGTTTTGGCTCTACGACAACTCTGAGCTCAACCCAAAATTGTGTTGATCAAAGCGCAAACAACAGATCGCAAAAGCAAACCACAAAGTCAAGTGCCAATAGCTTCAAACCTTTACAGAAACCTTTGGTCACAGACTCAGCTTCCAGTAAAGCTCCAGATGGAAATACCTCAGCTGAGCTTTTTGGTCAATCCAAAAACCAACCCTTTACATTTTCCTCTGCAAAGCCTTCAGCTACAACGGCAAGCAAAACTCAGGCCGGCTTTGGTTCTGCGACAACTACTTCCAACCTTTTTGGATGTTGTGGGTCAAGCCAAAATCATAAATTTTATCAAACCGCAGACCACAGACCAGAAAAGCAAACCACAATATCTCTGTTTGGTCAAAATAGGGCGTCCTCAAGTGCCAGTGGCCTAAAATCGGTTGGAACAAACTCGACTTCCAGAGGACCATCGGCGGATAATATCCCAGCTAAACTGAATAGTTCTGCATCTAACAATCTATCCGCTAACAATGTCAAAGATAGTGAAACCACAAATGCATATATTAAACCGACGAATTCAACTTCTGTCAGTCAGACGCCTGCGGCCACCAAAAATGAAAAAAGCGCTGCTTCCTCTGAATTATATGGTGGTGCAAGTACCTCAAACAATGTCAGTCAGATGCCGTTACCTACCGATAATGGTACTGAGACTCAAATCAAATCCGATACTCAAAGAAATACCGAAGCTGCTAAAACTTGCTCTCAGACGTCTTTGGTGCCCAATAACAACACTTCTGATATTGAAACCAATACCGGTAAGACCTCTAATAGCACGGTAGGTGTAGATGGGAGTACATCGGAAAACGAAGCGTTAAGAAACTTCAGTCACATTCCTTTTCTCAACAGTGCCAGAGCAACTGGCGTTACGAGTAAATCCCCTAAGGAGAATGTCATAGCAACAAATAATGCCAACAATTACAGCGACAGCGAATCCGCTAATTCTACAACAATCCCCCAAAACGAAGTAGATGCCACAGAGCTTTCCTTTTCTATGCTACATATCCCACCATTCTCTATCGAAAACCCAGAAGACGGGTTTACATATGTCGAATCACAATTTGCCACGGCCTCTATCGTTGGCGATTTTATAAAATATCGTACCGTTTTGAACGCCATTAAAAATAACTCTTTGTTAAAAATCTCCGATGCCGAAATACCACCACCCAACAACACCTCAGATAAGTATGGACAATTGAAAAGGAAAATTCTTCTAAAATGCAACAGACAAAACCTAACCATAAAAGCACTAAAAGATCTAGAACTTGGTAAAATGACCCCTACACAGTTGTTAAATAAAATGCGTATTATGGGCGGCATAGATATAAACGATGACATTATAAAACCAATTTGGATGAATTGTTTGCCCTTCGAGGTACAGAATATAATTTCAATAAGTAGCGATGATCTCAGCACGTTGGCTGTAATGGCTGATAAAATTATGGCATTGATAAGGGGAATATCGCACACCAGCACGTTTGCTCTAACGTCAAGTGAGCCCCGGACATACCCGCACTCCAGTTTGGAGCTACAAATATCTTTGTTGACCAAAGAAATTGCCGATTTAAAAATGAAAGTAACTGAACGTCCGGCTCAGTAAAAGACGATACAACTCTGAGCATGTTGCATTGAAATGCCTGGACCCTTTTGTTATATGTGTATGTGTTTTTGTACCTCCATGTATTAGATTTAAGTTTCCAATTTTCTATAGCGATAATGCTTCCTTCATTCACCCATAAATTGTTATACAAACTTAAAGATATATCCCTGTTTTTATACCATTCAATTTGAAATAAATATAAAAGAAGCAAAATACCAAAACTGGCAACAGTTTCTACAACTCAGGGTACAATAATTTTGCAAGTTGGGGCATAAAAATAACCTAAATACATATTTTTTCTTATGTTAGTCTTGTAATGTCAAATGTAAAACATCTGCCGTCTGATGACGCCTTAGACATACATTTCAAAAGCAACGATACGTTTAAACCAAACAACGACACGTTTACGTGCGTTACGTACACCACTAACCCCCAATCACATTGACTTGTTCTAAAATGTGTTCTAAAAACGAAATGGTATGAAATGAAATCTGAAAAGTCAATTTCTACTCCATGATTCGAAAGTGACGCTTCGCAAAAAATATACGAAAAAGTTGTGGAATTTGTGTGCAAATTATACGCCGTATTAGTAGAAAGACAAGTGCTGAGCATTTTCCGGCAAAGGAATTGACATTTGGGCTTCAAGCGGTCAATTGTCCGGGCAATTTCACAACAAAATCGTCGCCCAAGATTATGTTTGGTTTTTAAGAAACTTTTGTCAAATTAAGCGAACCACAAGGAAAGACATTACATTTTAACAGCGAGAGAGTAGGGAGAGGCGACGAACACGCTTTTTCGGTTACGGCGCCAAAAAAATAAACAAAGAAAAAATAATAAACAATAAAAGCGAATAGTGAATAAAAATTAATTAAAATGTTTGGTGGAGCAAAACCCACATTTGGCTCGACGGCACCGACCACAGGTTTTGGCGGTTTTAACAATACCACGACCTCATCGCCATTTGGCCAGTCGGCATTTGGCAAACCGGCCACAAGTGCCTTTGGAGCAGCCCCCACCTTTGGATCTCAACAAACGCAGCCATCTATGTTTGGCTCCACAGCGGCACAGCCACAATCGACGGGACTTTTTGGTGGGGCAAGTACTTCGACGGCATTTGGTGCCACCACAACGACCCAACCAGCTTTTGGTTGTAAGTAGAAACACAATAAATAATCTCACCCATCTTTTAACATGTTTTTTTTTTTCGTTACTGCCCTTTTAGCTTTTGCCCAACCCCAACAAAATACCTCCCTCTTTGGTGCAGCTCAACCTCAAGCCAATTCAACATCATTATTTGGCCAACCTGCAGCTACATCGGCATTTGGTGCCGCTGTTAAACCTGGTGGCTTAGGTGGTTTCGGTCAAACGGCAACCCAACCTACCACCTCCCTCTTTGCACAACCTGCTGCCTCCACAAGTGCCAGTGGTTTTGGCACCTTTGGCCAAGCTGCTCCAACTACCACCAGTGTTTTTGGCAGTTCCACCACATCGGCATTTGGTCAACCGGCCAATGCTGCTGCGGCCGCCAATCCAGGTACATCCATTGCCAAATATGTGACCACAATCGGCACAGATACTCTTATGAAAGGTGGCCAACCCAACAATGTCAATACCAAACAGCACTGCATTACCGCCATGAAGGAATACGAAGGCAAATCCCTGGAAGAATTACGTATGGAAGATTATTTGGCCAATCGTAAAGGTCCTCAGACGGGTACAACTACAGGGTTTGGCTTCGGGGCGGCAGCACAACCGGCAACAGGAACGGGGTTATTTGGTTCCACCACCCAACCAACCACAGGTCTATTTGGCCAGCCCGCGGCCGGCGGCACTGAAAACAAAGGTCTGTTTGGAAACACTACAAGTGCCTTTGGTCAACAGCCCAGTACCGGGTTTGGTGCCACAGCCACACAACCATTTGGCGCCAAGCCATTTGGTGCAACAGGAACGACAGGATTTGGTGCCACAGCAACAGACAATTCAAATCCTTTCGGAGCCAAACCGGCATTTGGACAAACAGCGCAACCATCAATGTTTGGACAAACTCCTGCAACCAGTACAGCACCGGCTTTTGGGCAAACAACAACAGGATTTGGTTCAGCCTTTGGACAAAATACCACACAGCAACAACCATCATTGTTTGGACAGCAACAAGCTAATGATCCCAATAAACCCGCTTTTGGCTTGGGTGGAGTGTCAACAGCCAATACCGGATTTGGAGGTTTTGGTAATACGGCCACAAGCACAGCCAGTGGTGGCTTGTTTGGTGCAAAACCCGCAACGGGTTTTGGTGCAGCACCAGCTTTTGGCCAAACATCTACTGCATCTACGGGTTTTGGCAATTTCTCCTTGCAAAACACAAACACCACGGGAGGCGGTCTATTTGGAAATACAACTCTCAACAAACCAGCCACATCTGGGTTTGGAGCTTTTGGCACCCAGACATCTACAGCAGCGCCGCTTAATTTCAATTCTGGCACTGGAGGAACATCACTTTTTGGCAATACGGCTGCCAAGCCGGGTGGAATGTTTGGTACCACACTGGGTGGCACCCAGAATACTACAGGCGGTGGTTTATTTGGCACTACGGGCACATCAGCGTTTGGCACCGGCAATACCACGTTGGGTGGTGGATTTGGTACAACACTTGGTGGTGGCCTAAGCACCATGGGTGGTTTACCTGGCACGCCCCAACAACAGCAACAGGTGCCCATACATCAGCAGATTCTATCCAAAGTCACCTCACCCTACGGGGATAATCCCATTTTTAAGGATTTAAAGAGAAACGAAGAAAACGACCCAACCAAGGCAACCAATCCAGCAGCACAAAAGGCAATTTTGGAGTGTGGAAATATGAGCAGTCAATTTAAGGTGGCCACAAAGTCTTCACCAAGTGTGGTACGGGTAAAACCAATTGGTTCATCGTTGACCAAGAAATCACTTTTTGAGGGTCTGGAGGAATTTGATGCCAGTGTGGAAAGTTTCAGTTTGAAACCCAATGCCAAACGGTTGATATTGAAACCCAAAAATAATCAGTCCTTGGGTTCAGCTGGTGGTAGTACACAGACGCCACCTGCCAGCCATCAAAATACACCGCAACGCCAAGTTACTGGCAGTGGCAGTGGTCTGGGGCAAGATCTACGAAATGAATCGTTCTCAGGAGAGATACCAACAGAACCTCCCGCAAAGGAGTCAGCAGTGACATCTAGTGGAGGAATCGGACCCGGTGGTAGGGGTACCCCTCTCAGCAGTGGTACTCCAAGTGGAAGCAATAATGCCATCGGTGGTACTGGTAGTGCTTTAGATTCCAGTCGCCGTGAATCTTGGTTGCATCCCAATAACTTGGAAAAGGTGCGCCAGCATAATTTGAATGCTGGCTTTGAGCCGGTCTCTTCCCATAACAGCACCTTAACAGAATTGGTGCCCCGCAAGCCCTTGGAGACATTCACGGGACGTATGTCCGTATCCACGGTGCAAGAAAATCCATTCGAAGATCAGCCATCGAGATTGGAGGGCAATGTTTCGGCCGCTGGCGGTGGTGCAAATGAAAGTATTTTATCTAGTCGCTCCTACAGCGGAGAAGACAAATCAATTTTGATCGAAGAAAACCAGGCGGATTATGAAGAACATCCCACAGGCATAACACTAAGAAGAGTGGGGTAAGTCATAAAAAAGATTGACTTTGAATTGTTAGTTTTAAATTGTTTTTGTGATTTTCAGCTATTACACCATACCCTCATTGGATGATTTGAAATCCTATTTGGCTGAGGATGGCTCCTGTGTTGTGCCCAATTTCACGGTAGGCCGCGAGGGTTATGGCAATGTCTACTTTGGCAAAGAAATGGATGTGGCCGGCTTAAATCTGGATGAAATTGTTCATTTTCGCAATAAGGAAATCATTATATATCCCGATGATGATAATAAACCACCCATTGGCCAGGGCTTAAATCGTGAGGCTCAAGTAACGCTGGATCAAGTGTGGCCATTGGACAAGAGTATACATGAACCCATCAAGGATCCCCAACGTTTGGCTGAAATGGATTGGGAGGCGAAATTGAGACGTGTATGCGATAAGAATGATACACGTTTTATTGAATATCGTCCTGAAACAGGAAGCTGGGTATTCCGTGTAAAACATTTCTCCAAATATGGGCTAAATGATAGCGATGAAGAGGAGGAGCTGCCAACCGATCCCAAGAAGGCAAAAATGGGAACTACAGCCATGGATGCAGCCAAACAACAGCCGGGAGCTACGGGGATGGTGCGTCAGGATAAAATGACTTTGGCTGCTTTGAAAAATGCCCAAAAGGTATTTGAATAAAAATTACGGGTAATAATTTAGAAGCTAATAGAGATTCGTTTTATTTCATAGATCTCCGAAGATGCGGCACGTTCTTTGGATCCAAAATCGTTGACAAATGCTGGATTCTATCCCATGGATGAATCGGCGGAATTTATGTTGATGGATAAGACACGTAAGTTGTTATGGTTTGCCAAAGAAAAAATAGATAAAATGTTATAAAAATGTTTTGTTTTTTTTTTTCAGAATATTTTCAAAACAATGGCAATGATTTTTCCATGTTTGACCATCCACCCCAAAACTACAAACAGGGACTAACTAGTCCCACAGCCACTTTGGCCCGCGATATGGGTACAGATGCCCACAAATTACAATTGATGAAGGCCTCATTTTTCATTGAGGATGATAATAAATCTGGTATGCTAAATTTCGTCAATTGGCCTTGGGATTTTGGAAATGATTTTGATTTGTTTGCTTTATAGAAACCTCCGAATACGGTCTGCAAAGGGACTTTAATCGCAATATGCCAGCTACGGGTGGCCTTTTTGGTCGTCACATTCATGATATGTACGATTCCTCGCAGTCATTGTGGAAAGATGGCCCAGGTTTGGGTGGCCATCTGTCGGAGACCTCAAGCCAGGCCGATTTTGGCAATGTTTTGGCCTCGCCACCAGCCCCAGCTTCATCGGCCGGCTCTGTGATAAGTGTTTTAAAATCAAAGGAGGCAGTAAGTTTAAACCATCTGCTGTAGATTTGTTTTTTTTTTTTTATTTTTTTTTTTCTCTACCTTTAAAGCATAAGTCAACTGGAGCCGGCGATTCCGAATCCATTGCGGAAAAAGTTGTCACCAAAATGCCACCATTTCTTGTCCGACCCAAGGTGGCCATGGTTAAGAGTTTGGCGGCCCAAGTACCATTGTCTAAATCCATTGCATATCCCCTAAGATTTAAATGGCCTGCCGATTTGGGACTCTATAATGGCAGGAAATTTAAAATGGGCTTTGGCCCACAAAACTCTCTGATTGTGCCAACCACACGCAACAATTTGAATCGTGAAATTAAATGTAGGTTTTGATTTTGAATAGATATATTAAAATTTATTTATAATAATTATTTATCTTTCATTGCAGCCCAAAATCTGTTGGAGGTTTCCTCTCTGCTCTTCAAGATTCGTGGCATAAATGACTTCTCCAGCACGGTCTTACAGCAAATTAAATTGTCCGCCACCCAGTCATATGAGAATTTCAAGGAGAGTATTGTCGATCATTTACAAATCCAGTTGAGAAATTCGCAACAACAGGATGTGGAGGGCAGTGAATGTCCGTACATAAAATCGGATGGGGGTACTGATCTAATTGTCAAACACTTGGATGAAGCCATAAAGCTAATAAATCTGGGCCCTCAAGAGGAATACAATGTGTCGGTGTGGTCATTGTGTCTAGCCCTCTGGGGTGACCACGAGGCCTTGGAGGGACGTGATCCCACATCACATTTTGTGGTTATGTATCGCCGTAATTTACTCTCTGAATGGCTGGAAAATACCCTAACCGATAAGGATCTATTGTCCCGTACCGTTTCGAAGCATACCTATTTGGAACATCTGATGGACTTGATAATGTGCCATAAGGTCACGGAGGCTTGTGAATTGGCATTTTCTTATGATGATGCCAATATGTCTTTGTTGTTGGCCCAATTGTCATCGGGGCCCACGGTGCGTCAGCTGATGGAAGATCAATTGGCTGCCTGGAATTCGGATAAGGCTGATCAGTTTATACAAGTTGAACGTTTGAAAATGTATATGCTTGTGGCTGGGGTATCGCTTATGTCGTCATCGCATGGTGTCATTAATACCCTGGATGGTATTGAGTGGATTAAAGTGTTGGCGGTAAGACAAAATTTAGAATTATATAAAAATACTCGATTTTAAAAAAATAATAGAAAATTTAAAAATATCCCACAAAAATATATATTAATTAAAATTTGATTTAAATATTATATTCTTTTTAATTATAAAACTATAAAAAAATTCATATAAATTTATATATTTTTTTTTTTTTATTTCATTATAGCTTCAATTATGGTATCTCTCCTCACCTACCTCCTCAATAACGGATGCCCTTTTGGCGTATGAGAAATCATTTAAATCGGAGGAGTTTTTCTGCATGCCTCCCACACCAGTTTACATTGACAATGGTGGCAGTGAACGCCAAAATATCTTTGATTTGCGTTATCATTTGCTACAACTGTTTTCCAAACGAAGTCATCCAATGGAAAGTTTATTGAATCCGGCCACACATACCGTAGATCCCATGGATTATCGTCTAAGGTAAATAAATATATAAAAAAATAAATATATTTTGGTTCAATTGATACTAACCCCAAATAAAACAATTTCAGTTGGCTGTTGCTACAGACCTTGGAGGCATTGGGCTATCGTCACTGTTCCGAGTTGAGTGAATCACAATTGCATGTGGGTTTTGCCTCACAATTGGAAACCAACGATTTATGGGAATGGGCCATATTTGTTTTGCTTCACATTAAGGATAAAAATCAACGTGAATTGGCTGTACAAAATGTGCTCTATCGTTATGTAACGGTGGCCAAGGATATTGCCCTTAGCGACAGGGAGAAATTTGTCATTAATAATTTGGGTGTACCCGAAAAATGGATAGACTATGCCAAGGCCGTTAAGGCGGGAGCTGTGCAAAATTATCATCTGCAGGCTAAATACCTGTTAAAGGCCAAACAATGGTCTTTGGCCCATGAAATTATATTCCAGCATATTGCCCCAGATGCCATAATTAATGGTAATGTGGTATTTAGTTATTAACAAGGGTTTTAGTTTTTTGTTAATATCTTTTCATTTTCACACAGATAATTTGGATTATTTACACAATTTGTTGAGTCAATTTGAATCACCCGATCTAAACAAGGCCGTCAAGGTACCCAATTGGTCGAATCAAGGACAAATATTTCTGGATTTTATAGACATCAATGAAAAGGTAAGTTTTTATGGAACATTTCTTTGAAATGAAATTAAATTACATTATTTTCAGTTCAAGGGTCTGAAATCGCTGAAAACCGAGGCCGACATTGAAGCCCGTTGGGAAAATCTTAAACCCCAATTGGCTGACTTGTGTTCGCGCATTAACCTCCTGCCCTGTCCAACGCCCAAACATCGTTTGTGTCAAAGTGAAATTGCCCAAAATTTAGCATGTCTAGTACGTGGTGTCCTACTCGTTTGTCCCATACTAAATCCCTGTCTTATCATTAAAATTGCGTTGGAACGTTTACCTTTGCCCCAGGAATTTGCCCAGCAGGAGTTGAGAGCATTGCTCGATACTTTGGTGGGTGATCTATCAAAAGTTCAGGTGGTGCCCAATGAGGTGTGACCATGCACCATGCACATAGGATTATTATTAAGAAACGTGGAGTAGTAATTTTAAGTAATATTTTTTTATGTTTTATTCTTCAGGCAAAAATTAAAAAATACATACAATATATAAGCGTCACTTTAACAAATTAAAAGTTATTTAATACATTTATGTTTTTTTTTCTCTCTATAGAATAGTTTTTTGCTCCCCAACCATTTTTTGATTTTTTTTGTTATGGCCAAATTTAAGTTAAATGGAAAAAAATAAATGAAAATAAAGCGAAATCATCATCGTATCATATTATATTAATTTTAAAAGCACGCATTTGGTTTGTTTTAGATCCCAAAAAAGAAAAAAAATACATTTAAATAAAACTTTTGTTAACACCCAAATAAAGCAACAAATTTTTTTATATTTACTGAGTTTTAAAAGGTTACATTGCAAGTTCCCCCCCCCCCCCCTTTTCCAGACATTTGGAAATTTTCGGATTCAAATTCTTCGGAATCCGTATATTTTAAGTATGTAGTGCAGTGGTGCTCAAAACCGTGTTCTAGAACATGAAGAGAAAAAAGAGATAATTTAAAAGAAAATTGAAATTCTATTTTTCTTTATATTTTACGGTTCTATTTAATTGTTTTTAAACACGAATATTTGCTAAAATAATTTATAAAGCAAATGTATAAAAAATATTTGTATAAATAATGACTTAACACTGTTTTGTTCTTGATTTAAATAAGCAAAGAGAAATTTGACTGAAAAGAGATATTTCTTCTTGAGCACCGCTGATGTTCGGCAATATTACAGATGAAAACACCAGCATTGTTTTGGTCAAAAAAGTTAACCCTCGAGCAAATTAATAAATGGGTCTTTTTAATCTTTTTTTTACAAATTTGTCATAAAATTCGACTATAGGTCCAGAAGATGTCAATGATCTAAATCTTACCTAAACGCCAGGAATGGATATACAGGGTGAGATGCAAGAACTGTAACATCATAGAAACCCGCTTCGCAGTGGCACTGGCTCGTGAGCTGAACATATCTCAATATTCCATTCGGCAAATGTTGAAAAATGAGATCGGAGTAAAGCAATTGAAATTCCAAAAAGTGCAAGAACTTACACCGCAACTTAAAGAAGCTAAAGAGTTGCTTCGCTTGGCCGAAAGTGGTGAACTGCCGAATTTGGTGAGAATGAGAAAACATTCGTTGTCCAGCAGTTTGTAAACAAGCAAAATGAAGAGGTCACCTGAAAATGTGCACCTTCAGTTGGCCAACAGAACTCAAGCGCCGGCCATGGTGATGGTGTGGGCCGCCATAACAGCCGATGGTCGATCTCCGCGCCGTCAGACCGTGCCATCAGAATAAATACCAAATATTATCGCGAAAATATTCTGGAGGGTGTATTAAAGCCTTGGACATGCAAACATTTTGTCCGCAGACCTTTGACATTCCAACAGTACTCAGCACCATTACACTCAGCACGCGCCACCCAAAAATGGTTACATAATGAGATTCCTCGCTTCATTTCCAGCGTACAATGGTCACAAAAATCTCAGGATACCAATCCGTTGGACTAGTGTGTCTGGAGTATTTTGGAAAGCAAGGTTGGCACTAAAAAATACCCAAGTGTCCATCACCTCAAGCAAGCATTTCGCCAGGAATGGGTCAAAACACCGCAGAGCCACATTCGGGCAGCGTGTGACGGTTTGAAGGCCATAATTCGTGCCAAAGGTGACCAATTCAAACAAATCTAAACTTGCTCTAATTTTTTTTCTATTTCCAACAATTTTTGTTTTTATTCAATAAAATTTAAAAAAAAAATGTTAAAATTAGGGCGTTTGACTTTGTTGCAGTTTTTTACCTCACCTTGTATGTTGGAGTGTATAAAAAAATCAGTATATTCCCAAGCAAACAACGAGTTGCATTAAGTGACGTTACCTTCTAAAAAGGTACAAAAGTTTTTTTTTTATTGATATGTTTAACATTAAAAAATATTCAATTATTCGAATTGTTTTGTATAATAAGAACACTTAATATGTTTCGTTGATTGTGTATAAAATAATACAATTACAATAGATGTATATGGACGGTATTGTTGCATCTTTATAACTTACATAGAATATTTCGAGATGTAGAAAATGTTAAATATATAATTAAATTAAAAAAAGAGGTGGAATGTGTGTTGTGTATATAAAATATTAAAAATTTTCTACAAAATATATTAAGGCACAGATACTTTTTTGTATTTGAACATATTAAATACATATATATGTGGAATGTATAAGGTGTTGTGCAAAGATGCAGAGTTATGCATAAAATAAAAAAAATGGACGGTTAAAGAGATTCTTAATAAACCTGGAGACTCTTTTGTTTTTGAATATATGGTAGAAAATTTGTGAATATTTCGCATTTTGTGCTTAACCAACTGGCATTGTGGATACAGTGCTATGGGGTGTAGTGGGACGAGAACCGGCCAAGGAGTTGGCAGTTGAGGCATGTAGCGAGGCCATGGTACCCATCTGTAAACCAAAAATAAATATTAATTTATTATAAAAAAAATATTTTTCAAAACACTCACCCTTAAGTGGGCCAAATCTTCCAATTTGGTCAAATCGACCAATTCCAAGAACAGCGAATAAACACAGCACCAACCATAAATCGAAACCAAAACGAAAACTGACCACAGGAATACCATTACAGCATTATAGGCAAAATACAAATCATTGACAATGGCAAAGAACAACAAGGCCAATAGACGCCATATTGTAAAAACCGCAAACGTCCAGAGCCAGGGTAAAATTTTACGTTCATATTCCTGGGGAAGTAAAGAAAGGATATTTATTAATAATTGTGTCCCATTAAATTAATTTGTTATGGATAAAAAGCCAATAGTCTATGGATGATTTTCTTGGAGATGGCCGATAAGTAATTATACCCAACACCACACTGGAACACAAGGAAAAATCCAGAACCAAAATACATTGCCATACAAATTCAGCATGGCTGACTTACAAAACAAAATGATTAGGTATGAAATAGGTAAATGAATTGAATAGATAGGCAATAACCCCTGATGAAGAATAGGAATTCCTGTTATGCAAATATTTGTTGATTTAAAATTATTTCAAATATCAAAGGTAAAATTTTTAGTTAAATTACGGGCGATATTATTTCGTCTAAAATATCTTTTTTTTTTTGAGATAGGTATAAGCTAATAAAATGGTCAGGTGGTGATGTGTATCATTGTAGATATAATTCAAACTGGTGTACAGTTTTTGGAAATGGATGTTGTTGTTTCTTTCTCTAAAAACACTTTACCGGCATCAAAACGAAACGTTTTTGTGCTATTCCCTCTCGGTGTTGCTTGTATGAGGCAAATTAAATACAAAAAATGTGTGTTTTGTGAAAATTGAAATGGTTATGAGAATGATGATGATATTGAAAATTAGCAAATATAAATGCGGACACCACAAGGCTTACCTTTCTTAAAGCTACAACCAAAAGTATGCTTGTACAGAATATAATTAGGCCCAATACTAGGGAGAATAAAGCAAATACCATCAGCATGTTGCGAACTGAAAAAAAATAGAACATTAATTAATTAACATTGTTTAACGCACATATACAATTAGCTACATACCATGTTTATTGCCAACATAGACAAATTCATATGAAATAATATAATAACCATAATGTGTGGAGCCAGGCGCAGCCATGGCCAGGCAATAGATATCAAAAATTGCAGTGCCAATGGTAAATAGGGCCAGAAACTAAAACAAAAAGTAAAAACATTAACTTAGAAAGAAAAGCCCAGTGTGCTTTACTTACAATGGCAAACAAGCCTATCATCATGGCATTTTTTTGAATATCAATATATTGATTATTCTTTAAGATGGGTCTTTGATACCAAGGAATACGCACGGAACGGGTGGAACGTGACTTTGTCGTATGTAAATTGGTTGAGGATCTGAAAAATGCCAAAAAAGTTTTTATGAAATCCCAATGTTTACATTCCATCTAGAGGTCTAGGTCTAGACTTACCTTCCCGTTGTGTGTGAATACACCGAGGGATTCGAACGATATGTCGAGGGCGTCTTTCGTCCATAATTCATAATGATGCCTTACAAATGCTATTCCAACTTTGCACTTAATAATCAATAACTGCTCCTAATCTGGAATAACAAACATGTTGCATCAATAATAAATCATTAATTAACAACAAAACAAGGCGTGTAGGGCGTTTCCCAAAACACTGACTATTCCAATTCACACGCATTGTTTTATTGCTTTCTGGCTTGCTTTTGCAGCTTTATTTTACTTCTTTCTTTTATTTCACAGTTTCTTTTATTATTTATATTGAAATGTCTTATTAAAATATATGAATTTATTACCGTGAGACAAATAAATAAAATAATAACAAAATACGCGTGAAAACATAAAATAAATACAATGGTATGTAGAGGTGGCAAACAATCGATGGCAATATCGATACATCATTTCAAAAGTATCGATTTATAGTTTGTTTTTATCGATATTATTGGACGAAATGCCCGCACTCATGGAGAATTCTAAGAAGGTAGAGGAAAAAACTATAACAAATTATTAATAATTCAAAAAAAAAAAAAAAAAACAAAAACAAATAGAAATTTGCTGTTGTAAGTAGTGTTTTCAGAGATATAATTTAAAAATTTTAATTTTTAAGCCCAGAAGAATGTAAACTGTACTTGTTAGCTGCAGGTACGAATTTTGCAAGACTTCAAGAAAACGCTAACAAATCCTAGAAAAGCTACTACCGCTCCAGTTTAAAATTAAAATATATGTATTCATGAGTTATATGACATTTAGCTAATTTAGAAAACATGAAAGATGCAGCGCTATTATCAAATGCATTGCCGTATTTTCTTTATTACCAAAAAAATTTCCGCATCGTCATCGTTGGCTTTTGGTTCAATATGACAGTTTTTTCTATTATCAGAACAAATTGTACACAATTTTATGAAAAAAACCGGTAATAAAAACACGAAACGTCGTATCGAATTCGTAACTAGTAAAGTGTTAAAAGTGCTGGTTAAACAGATCACGAACATTTCATGTTTTGTTTCACTGTAAAACATATTAAATTTGGTTTATAATTTCCAAATCATTCAATTTTATTATCAAAATGCGTGCTCAGTTGAGAAAGTTCATCGAGTTTTCATTATGTTCAGTGACGAATAAGTACTTAAATAAGCTGTATTGGAGTAAGGATCATTGTAAATGCTACCAATGCATCTAGAATATATTACTAAACCATTAAATTACACGATTTGTGTTCAAAGCAGGGTTAAATACTTCTAGCAAAGTCCCATGTTATCATTTTACGGTGATTGGCAACAAAAATCATTGCTTTTAGTGCTAAAAGCACTAAGTTGGCATCGCTGATAACGGCTAGTTTGTGATTTTTTGGCGGAAATTCAATGTTATATACTGGGAAAAAGCGCATCTTACACCTTAATGTTATTACATCGGATTTAATAATGCTATTAATAATAATTTCCCTGAAAATTTGGCATAAAAGAGAAATTCGGCATTAGGAAAGTAAGAAACGATTGGAATGTTTATAATTTTTTTTTTGGAAATGTCGATTAAAGCCTTTTGGCAAACTGCGACATGATGACTCGAAATTAAATGTGCCACAGGATTTGTAAAAAGTACCTTGTATTAGTGGGTTTCCTGGTTTATCTCCAAGTATCCACAATTAAGGAAATCATGGACGTTTTCCGATGATGAATCATGGAAATAATTTTTGGGAAAGAACTCTACAAGGTAATTAGGTTCCAGTCTGTTTAACTCTGTCTACTTTAGCGATATTGTATATTTCAGAATTTGAACTGGTTTCTTGAATACTACCATGTATTTGATTTCCTGGTTGTTTTCTGGTTTATCTCCAAGTATCCACAATTAAGGAACTCATGAACGTTTTACGATGATGAATAATGGAAATAATTTTTGGGAAGGAGCTCTACAAGGTAATTAGGTTCCAGTCTGCCTAACTCTGTCTACTTTAGCGATATTGTAAATTTCAGAACTTGCACTGGTTTGTTGAAAACTACCATGTATTTGATTCTCTGGTTGCTTTGAATGGTGGACATTGATGAATTATGGAAATCATTTTTGGGAAAGAGCTCTAAAAGGTAATTAGGTTCCAGTCTGCCAAATTATGTCTACTTTAGCGATAGCGAAATATACAATATATTTCAGATTATGGACTGGTTTCTTGAATACTACCATTTATTTGATTTCCTGGTTGTTTTGAATGGTGGACTTTTTCGTGGACGTGGACGCTTGAGAAAGTGTTCTACAAGGTAATTAAGTTCCAGTCCGTATACCAATTCTAACTATACTTTACGTTTCAGAATTTGTATTGATTCTCTGAATGTACCTTCCCGGGTAAACGAATCAGGACAAGGTGGTTTCTACTCGTAATATAGATGATGAAATTAACATAATTGCACAAATTTTGTGATACTTTGGACTCAGAAAAACACATACGATTGAGACCTCTGTGGAAAAGGTAGTTGAATTAACCACCATCACATGACTATATACATGAGGAAAACTACTATAAGGAAAACTATGCTATTTTGATGATCCTTTGTAAACTTTTCATAAGAAACGGCATATATGCATGAGAGATTTTACTCATGCAGAGGAACTAGTTTAGAATGAATCAAAGTTTTGAGGAATGTCAGAGGATCTAAAGAAAGTGTATAAGAAAGCCTAGAAGCTAGAAGTACAATTTGCAGAATCTTCTCCTCAACATTAGAAAACATCCTTTGATCCTAAATCCGATGTAAATAAGGTAAGCAAATTTCTATATTTTACTCTTTCTATATTTGATTTATTCATATGAAATATAACAATAAATAGTTTCTTTTAGAATATAATATTACTTATTTAAAATCACACAAAATAATATATTTCTCAACAATTTTAGAATTAGATAAATTAATGAACTTAAAACGTTAAATGAAAATAATGACAGTGTGGTCAACAAACACAGGAATGTTTTAGAGACGAAATGAACCTGATGGTGAATTAAAAAACAATTAAATTAAAAAAAAAAACATAAAAACATATACAATAGAAGACTCTGTTAGAAAAATAGGAAAAGTAAGAATATAGAAAACGTTAAGACAAGAATAGTAAATTAATTGATAAGTACTTGTTTAGAAGATAGGAAAAAAAAAGAAATTGTCATAACAAATAAGCATGCATGTGTGGGTTTCTTCAATATACCAGAAGAAATGTATTTGTGTGTACAAAAGCTATATCAAAATGTAAGAAAACGTGTTACTGTAAACAGAAAAGACCCAAGAAATGGATGTGTTATCTCTCTAAAAAAATTACGATTAAGAATGAAAGCTAAATTGAAATGTGTATTACAATATAATGATAATTTGTTTCTATAGATCTTGAAACTATTGACTGCTGATTGGGACTATAAAATCAAAAAGTACATACATACTGTATCTATAAGCAGTAAATAGATTTACACTGACACGCACACACACATCTAGACATATGCTATGATCTAAAAGGTATATCCATCTATTGTAAACTCTACTACTGAATACAGCAACTGCGTACCGAATGGCTAAGTTTGTGATCATCGTCGATATCCTTGGCGCTAAGAAGGCTTTTTATACTCTCGGCTTCCTTCATCCAAAAGTCCAGCTGTAAAAATGTTAGATAGAGATGAATGTTCGTATTATAAAATAATATAAATGTTTTTAAGAACCTGCTGCAGCAACAAAGCTCGGCGATCGCCTTTGGGCTCCTTGTTTATAAATGGTACCAAAATTCCCAATGCCGATGTAAATGATTCCAAGGCAGCTTCATATTTTCTCTCAAACAAATACAACTCACCTTGCCGTCCAATTTCCAAGCCCGTTTTCAAGGAAGGACTAGAGTGCGAGAGGGCATCTAAAAGATAGATTTGATGGCAATTATAAGGGACACAGCGTTAGGCTAGTTTGAGAGAAACCCGTGGAAATCTTTAGTTATTTTAAGGATTTCGAAAATGTGAGTATTGAAGAGTATTTCTAGATCTGAATGCATTGCACATAGATGAAGAAAAAGTTTCGTTTCTATTTTCAGTTTTTTCTTCCAAGACAAGAACCTTTTTAAGTACAAGTCCTACAGAAATTCCTTGGAATATAGACGATTTCTACGGAGTAGCCATAAAACAGACTATATTTAGTGGCATACATAAAATGACTTTTATAGGTCTTCTATACATAGAAACCATTTTCTCATTTATTTAACATTGTGGTAAAAAGTCCAAACCACAATACGAAATATATCTCGAATCGCGAGGAGAAAATAAAGACATTTACCCCCCTCTACAGCTCCATTATCTTTCAACGACCTAAGACAATCAAAGTTTTTTGTTCGATCGACGATTCGATCACTCGTTTCCGCCAGGGTTTGTCTTATCGTCAGTCTACCTTTATCTTTGTACACACAACACATTTCCCAGAACTATTTTATGATATGAGCGTCACATTTCTATACAAGAAAACTGGTAATTGAAATCCTCAAATGATTCAAAAACATTGGATACTTACAAAGTTGTTTATAACGTGTTTCCGGTTCTAAGGCTTGTGTTACCACATTTGCTGGGGCACTTGCATTTCCACTAACCAACGATGACGGCGAAGGCTCTTGGCTGCCCTTAGCCTGCCGTATGGCCAAAGCCTTGTATTCCTCTTCAATGAGAACATTTTTTATTTCTTCTGCCCTCTTAAGATAAGTTTGGGCTCTTTGACGCAAGGCCATGCGTTTTGTGGCATCCGGTTCATCGGTGATCAAGGGTACAAAATATTGCAATGAACTGCAATAGAGGTAGTAGGCCTCCTTGTAATTTTTCTTTTCGTCATATTCCACGGCCTGGGTAACCAAATCAATGGCTTTTTGGAGTGTCTAAAACGAAAGTTTAATGTTTTATATTTTTTTTAAACAATAACTAATATGTACTCACCTTTTCTGACGGCACTGTTTTGAGATCAAGAAATGCATGATTAAAAAAATCATTAAAGGCTATACGTTTGGCCGGATCATGTTGTAACAAACGGCTCAAGAGATCTTCACACTCTTTGCTAATGCGTGCATTGGGCGGCAAGGTAATGCGTTCACAGTTTTGTATGCGTGCCAGCAACTCTTCGATGGTCTTCGACGAGTAGGGAGCCCGCCCAAACAAACATTCATACAGAATTACACCTATACTCCAGAGATCGGCACGGGCATCGTAACGTTGCTTGCGTATTATTTCGGGTGCCATATATAGTGGTGAGCCTTTCAGCTGCTGATTGATTTCACCCAATTTTAAATGCTGGGCAAATCCAAAATCGGCCACCTTCAGCGACACATTGTTATTGTATTTGGTCAGCAAAAGATTTTGAGGTTTCAAATCGAAATGGCTAATGTCATTGTTGCGCATATATTGCACAGCAGAGGCCAGCTGGCGTAGGAAATATTTGCAAGTGGCCTCCGGCAGTGATTTTTTCGATCGTATAAAAGACGAAAGGCTTCCGGCGTTGCAGTACTCCAAAACAATGTAGATATTCTTGTCATCCCAAAAGAAATCCTGCAGGGTGACAATGTGTTTATGGTTCAATGAACGCAGCAGACGAATTTCCGTGATTAGATTCTCTCGCGAGCTGTCCGATAATGAGGACATTTCCACAAATTTGATGGCATGACATGATTTGCTCTTCTAGAAGTCACAGAAATGAAAAATATAATAGAAAAGCATTTTCACGTGGGTGTTCGTGCAGTAAATCCCTTTAAATCCCAAATCAATTATGTGCGACCAGCCTGTCTGTCTGCACCACTCATATACACTTACCTTGTGCCTGGCTCTGTATACTGTGGCATAACTACCTTCACCCAGTTTTTCCAATATCTCAAAATCCGTTATCCGAGGCAATGCCATTTCGCCAGCGTCTCCACTAAATAAACAACATGCTTAGTAAACAAAGTCGCAAGAAATTTCAATGGAAACAAACGTTCCGTTGTTTGATTGTTTTGATGTGAAATGAGAAAAAAAGCCAAAAATAATTGATGGCCGAACAAAAGTAAAAGCGTTCCTAACGATACGAATAAGTGGGACACACTAGAATGGTGGATAAAAGTGAAAATGATAACACGGAAAGTTGATAATCAGCTGATAGAAATAAAGAAGATAGGGTGTTCTAGGTTGACTAAATCAGTGTACCCTGTGTTCATTGCGGGGCGCGCATTAATATTATTAACTAGATTTGCCATAAAATTGAAAGATTGAACAGTTCAGATCATATTTTTGAAAGAACGTCCAAAGTTTCATTCATCTTTCGCGCTATTTGACTCATTTGTTGCCTATAATTTTGAATAATTCTGACAGGAAGCGTGCATAGCCTCAGGGCTGTATTTATGTAGTTTTACGAAGCTGTTCTACCTCCTTATTGTACCATGGTTCCAACTAGAACGTAAATTTTAAATAAAATACAGATATTAAAAAAGAGGGAAAATTGTGAAACGTTTACTCTGCTACAGAACTGCAGGATGATAAATGTTTTTACTACGATAACCTATTTTTCATTTATGATATCGAATACAATTGCAAAACTAGTAGGTTTTAGCAGATTCTGGAAGAGAGCATTTATTATATCCTAAAGTAGACAATTGCTTTGTTCCAGATCCTGCAAGAATCTACTAGTTTTGCAGTTTTGGAATGGACCAAACATGATGTTATGTATGGAAAAAGGTACGTGCAGAAGGCCGCCACGGCTTTGCTGGTACACACGCGATCTTTTAATGAAATTTTGGAATGGACATTTTGAAAATATGCTGCGGTAATTCATTACTACAGCGTCAAATTTGCTCTTTTAAGGCTTTGGTCGACGTCGGCTATTTGTGAAAACGATCGAATTCAAAAAGTCCTTAAGAAAAAAAATCTAAAAGTGTTAAATCTCGCAATCTAGGCTGCGAATTCTCATCTTAAAAGCGTGAAATAACATCACCGGGAAATGACTGATACACCAATTGAATCAATTAGGAGGGAGGCAAACTTCTTTTTTAAGGGAACATTTTGATTGTAACGGATGATTTTGTTCCAACTTCCGTATTGCTCTGATTAGGGTTTTTCCTTTTCCGCAATTTGTAGGGGGGGTGTGGACGCGGTCGAGGAACCTCTTACAGTACCTAAGAATTATGTATTATGCAGAATTAGAACGGCAACATGTGGTGTTCAAAGTTGCGGTAAAGGTTGCTGTTTAGGAGACTGCAGAGGAGTTCCACACTCTATCGACAACTCCGAAGTTGACGACGAAGACGCGGACTCGCTGGGGACTACGCACTATAATCATCTCGCAACCGGGTTAGACTGGAACAATTCCAAAACTTCACACATCCTCCGCATCAAATGCATCGCACCTAGACTGACCTGTGGTAGATGATATTGGGATAAACCGAAAAGGTGCGGACTAAAAGTATTTGGAACAGGCATTCCAGGATGCTCTCAAGACAAGATAGACAAACACGAACATATATCATTGAGTTGGCAACCGCTGGCCGAGATTGGGATGTTGCTCTTTCGGATCACTCCGGTGTCGTAGAACCTGCTGCCGTGGGATCCCCAACTTGTTGTAAATGGAGTTGCATGGATTACATTTTGGTCGTCATGTGGGCAGATGTCTTCGCCTGAGATTTCGAGTTACTCCCCGTACCTTAATCTGCATTTTTATCACCTAAATTCGGCCTGCTTGACAACTTACCATACTCGGTCCACGTCCCATTCAAATTTTTCTGGCGAATACGTTCCTGTTGACCTAAATTTTCACTGACTGAATTTCCTTTTAAACTGTCAACTTGCCTGTCAACAACTATGCGAAGTCATAAAGTACAATCCGCATTGTTGATACGTCTTCTTTCTCTGATGTTAATAAGCTACTTAAACTTCTTACCCGTGATACGAACACTTTATTTGTCTAATGTAATGGGTAATGGATCTTTTTCCAATTTGTAGTAATGATCAAACAAGCAATATTCTCCAACATATAAATGACACGGGTAATATCTCCTACGTCAAAAGCATGATCTGGCTCCTTCCATCCAAGTATATACTCCAAATAAAATATAAATTTATATTTAGTGATACAATAACGTATTTATTAAAGTTCCAATCAACTTCGTCTTTTGGTTGCAAAAAATGGACTGACAAATTTACAAATGAGTTCTTTTATGTAAATAGTGCCTTTACAATTACAATACTGGTCTTAATCTCAAATTCTATTTCTCTTAAAATTCTCGACTCTCTTTCTCTCTGTCATAGGATTGTTGTTGTTATTGCTCTAATCATATGTATGCTAGTGACAACGGTATTCCTAACAAACACTTGTTTCTTTTAAAATTACCATAACAAGAGAAAGGGAGTAACAAAAAATAAAGAATAACAGTGAACAGTGTATATGTGGGGTATGTTCAGTAAAAGCCACCGTCATGTTTTTAATAACCATACATGCTCGATCTTCCATCAATGATATCTCACCTAATGATACTTAAAATTGGATGTACGAAGTCTATTCTAAGTTTGATTTATAGAAGCCACTAAGGTAAAGTAAAAAAATGAAATTCGTTCCATTTTTAATCTCGACTTGTATTTTATTTATTCCACAAAAACAATGCGTTTATTCAATATGTTGTTTAATCCAGTGAATATAGTGCGAGACCTTGGTGTAAACACCGGGATAGGGAGCAATGGTGCATGGTTTTCTACTCCACGAGACAATACCCAATTGCACGTTGCCATTGTACAACAGAGGACCGCCCGAATCGCCAGAACATTGTCCCTTGCCGCCTTCATCAACACCGCCACAAATGTGATATTCGGGATTTGTTTGGTAATTGTGTCTTTCTTGGCATTCGTTATCGGAATAGATTTTCAAATTGACTTCTTGCAAAGTGTTTTGAATGTAGCCACCAGTCTGCAATAAAAGAAGAGAAGTAGAAAAATAAATAAGCATAAATATTGTTAAATGTGGGCATATATAATTTATTTAATATATAATCATTGTTGATGGTTAAGATAATTAAAACGGCAAGCCAACGGATTTGATGGCTGCTAACATTTTTTCGTCATGGATTTATCAGTTATTTGCAAGTTATCAGCTATATTTATTGGTCATAAAACTCCTATTATAAAAAACGGGATTAGAGTGCGATATAAACTGTTTTGATTTATTGCCTTGAGAATTAAAGGCGTCAGAACCAAATCTTTAAAAACAAAAATACAAATAGTGAGGCAGCTATGTGCCGACCCGTGATACTGGTAGCGTAGCTCGATGTCAAGGAAGTGGATGGAAGAAAACAGCAACATCAGTAGAAATGGTTCGAAAAGTAAAGTGGCGACTTGATCGAAACCCGCGTCGCAGTGGCCGAAAAATGGCTCGTGAGTTGAACATATCACAATATTCCATTCGGCAAATATTGAAAGATGAGCTCGGGATAAAGCCATTGAAATTCCACAAATTGCAAGAACTTACACCGCGACAGAAAGAAAAGAGACGCAAAAGAGCTAAAGAGTTGCTTCGCTTGGCCGATAGTGGTGAACTGCCGAATTTGGTTTTCCCCGTCTCCTTTGAGGAAACATTCGTTGTCCAGCAGTTTGTAAACAAGCAAAATAATCGTGTTTACTTGCCAAAGAGGTCAGCTGAAAATGTTCACCTTCGGTTGGCCACCAGAACTCAAGCGCAGGACATGATGATGGTGTGGGCCGCCATAACAGCCGATGGCCGCTCTCAGAATACATGCCTAATATTATCCCGAAAATTTTCTGGAGGGTGTATTAAAGCGTTGAGCGCGAAAACATTTTGGTCGCAGACCTTGAACATTCCAACAGGACTCAGCACCATCGTACTCAGCACCAAGAATGGTTACAAAATGAGGTTCCTCGCTTCATTTCAGCGCACTGGCCACCAAAATCTCCGGATACCCATCCGTTGGACTATTGTGTCTGGTGTATTTTGGAAAGCAAGGTTGACACTAAAAAATACCAAAGTGTCGATCACCTCAAGCAAGCGCTTCGTCGGGAATGGGCCAAAATACCGCAGAGCAACATTCGGGCAGCGTGTGACGGTTTTATTGTCCGTTTGAAGGCCATAATTCGTGCCAGAGGTGACCAATTCGATCAAATCTAAACTTATTCTAAAATTTGATGTTATTTCCGACGTATTTTCTTTCGTTCAATAAAATTTAAAAAAAATGTAAAAAATATGGCGTTGCACTTTGTTGCAATTTTTTTTTATCTCACCCATGGTAGAAGAATATTGGTAGACGCGTCGACTCAGCTGCTGGGACAATGAACTGTCAAACCAATTTTTGGAATTGAAAATGTTGAATGAAAAATTATTTAAATTTGTAAAAATTGTTGAAAAACGCGAATTATAATAGCCTCCGAATTACGTAGTATAAGAAAACATATAAAAATTCACTTATATTTGAAAAAACATTTAAATTTGTTTGACATATCAATGCTCCCAATCGTTGATGCAGCTACCTGTATTCTTCTGCCATGATCTCACCCATGGTAAAATTAAGAAGGTAAAGTCATTTCAAATAAGCATTCCCATCTTTGCATTTTCTGTAATTTACCTTGTCAAATTTTACTGCATAGAAAGCTGGTTCCCATCTCTGATTTGTGTATGTATAATGGATTTTAAATAATAATAATAATTTAAAAAATTGTAAACATATGATTTCATGACTTAACCTTCTTCATTCTACTATGATCTCACCATGTAATCATAATAAATGCACTGTCTCTCTTGATGGCAGTCAGACAAACAATTAATAGCAATTATCACAAAAATGCAAATTAAGGGCAAAGAGGAATGCAAAAACTGCGGCTTATAAATGTCATTGACAATGATCGATTACTATCGATAGATACAATAAATAAACGGCTATCAGCTGGAACACAATTGGGCGTTTGGCGACAACGGCGAATGTAAAAATAATAAATTTGACCAGTAAGAGGGGTAAAACGGAAAAATTATATAAACCCCATAATATATATATATATATATATATATATATATATATATATATATATATATATATCACGTATATCCGAGGGTTTAAGAAAATTGAATATTAATAACTGGGACAATTAGCAACTAGCTTAAAAATTAAGTTTCACATGTTCCCTCTCTGTTTTATACTTTCCGAGTTCCAAACAAATTTACAATTTAATCTATTTAGTATTAATTTAATCTAAAATCACCACTTTTCCCACTCACCTCATTCAAACCCCAACCAGCCAAAACACCGGGCACACCTTCAGGTAGTTGAGGAATTTCGAAATATGGATCGGGTAAATTGACTGGAGCCAATGTCTTATAGTTGAATACCAATGTGCCGTACAATTCCAACAGGGCAATATCATTGGCATATGAATTTGAGGGATTGTAACCTTCGTGCATGATGATGCGTTTCACCGGAATGACATTGTCACCCTTGGCGCTAATGGTGGTGGTGGCATATTGGACACTAATTTGACCAGCATTACGTCCGTCGACACAATGGGCAGCAGTTAGAATAAAACGTGGAGCAATAATACTCGAACCGCACGAATGAGAACCGGTTGCACCGCGCAGCGATACCATAAATGGATATTTGGTAATTTCTGTGGAGGTACCATTCACGACACGTCCCTCGGGGAAGCAGTGGACACCAGTGGCGACCAGTGACACCAACACAACGATCAGCGATAATTTCGACAACATTTTTCTGTCGTGTACTAAACATTTTCCATCATTTGCTCAGACTTTTATATGTAATTGCGAAAAAAATCTGATCTTATCACATCGATGATAATCGAAGCTTTTTTAATCTATATTTTTTTGTTTTTTTCTTTTTTTGTTCAAAGATTTGTTGCATTGTATTTCTTTTAAAAGCAAATCCCACGGCCAATGACTGCCCCTTTCTAAGGTTTAAGGCTACCATAATCTCAGGAAAACTACGTGATTAGATAAAGTCCGTTTGGCGCCCATAAATTTCCCAAGCTTAGCAGGGTTATGGTTATTTTATGGCTGCTAAATTTAAATCTAATATTTACAATATTTGTTTCATGAAATCAAAAACAATGTCAATATTGGGAATTTTGCAGATTGGACATTGCTTTGTTTTATCATTTGTAAAATAATTTTGTGGCGTGCTCCTGCCTGCTTGACAATATTTATTGGTAGAATTAAAAAGGTAACCTTGTGCAAATATTATAAGGCATTAAAAGAGAATAGGGGCCATTAGAAAGCAAATTTTAGAAAATAAAACTTAATAAAACCGATAATAAAATATGGACTGACGATGAGGTCAAGATGTTGTTGGAATATTTGTAGGAGCATCAGGATTTGGGAATTTTAGTACCGTCAACATAACCTATACAGAAGGGAAGATCATTACATGTCTCTGCAACAACAGAGGCTCTTTCGTCCTTATCCGGCAAATATATAGATTTAACGATTAACAAGTTAAAAAGCAGTAGGGCGAACTTTGAATACCATCCACCATTTGGAACGAATTTGAAATTTTTCAAAATATAAAATCCTTAAAAAATTCTTTTAAAAATTTAAAAATCCCGAATATAGCCGTTATATTGGGGTCTATACGACGTCATAAGCCATTACCATTTTCAAATTCGAAACTTGAAATAAACGGTGAATAGTGTAGGTAAAATCATCAAAATATTGTATATAGGGAGGTACCGTTATATCGGAGCCGTGCGAAGACTTGGACCAGCATAGACAATTTTCTGTCACAGGCTGTAGCATCCATTACGAAGTTCAAATACGACATCTCAAACAATTTCGGTGGGTATTGTACCTAAAATCGTCAAAATACCGAATATATGGAGGTACTGATATATGGGGTCTATACGAAGACCTGGACCTGCATAGGCAATTTTCTGTCACAGACTGTAGTTCCCATTACGAACACTAAATACTTAATTTGAAACAATTCCGGTGAATAATGGCGCTAAAATCATCAAAATACCGAATATCGGGAGGTACCCTTGTATAGGGGCTATACGATATCATTGACTTATACAAACAATTTTCTTCCAGGGGGTAAAGTACTCAGAAAGAACTCCTTGTGTGATTTTCAGACAATTCCATTAAAATATTTGGCTACAATTATAAGAATACCGAATATCGGGTGGTACCGTTATATGTCGGCTATACGATATCGTGAACTTCGTATAAGAATTAGGAATATGGAATGGACTCACGTACCATGCGAACATAATAGTATAATTCAATTGCTTTCAAACTGCATTTATTTAGCTATGACAAACACCCAACGCTGTGCTTTTCCCACACACCACAACAGTGTAGCATACTTTAGGGGGCGCGTCAATGTTAAAGGAATAACATTTGTTTTGCGCATTTCCCCTTCAACGACAAATGGAATCCACACCGCAACGTGACAAGCACAACATGATTATTAACAGCATCATCATTATTACGACGACAACAACAACAAAAACAAATAAGTGAAAATACGAACAAACATCATTGGCATTGTAGGGAAAATAAAGAAAGAATTTCCATAGTTTTTTTGCTGCATTTTGTAACATTTTCCTTTGTGTATGTGTGTGTCCCTTCGTTGTTGGTTCGTGTGCGCCATGACTCGGCCTCATCCGTGTCCCTGTCCGTGTGTGTGAGAACAGCATGTTTTCACATGTTTCAAGGCATGGCTTACGACCACAGCATCGTGAACAGTGTTTAGTCTTCGATAACGAGTTCAACGTGCATGCCGTAAAGCGGAGAATATTCCAAAACAAAGCAAAGCAAACACAACAACAACCACAATCAATCAGTGAAGTCAATACATTGTCAACGGAAAAAAGAAATTTGAGAGTAAAAAATTGAGAAAAAAAAGCTCCATTAAACACAGTGAGAAATTAGAGCACGTCAAGCAAAGAAGTCTCTGAAGAATATTAACGGGAAAGAAATTGTTTAAAATTTGAAAAAAGAAAAATTACCACAAAACAGTTATTAAACAGTGTTTCAAATTAAAAACAAACCGGCAAGACCACAAAAGGAAAATAGTTGAAATTAAAAAAAACAACAAAGCCAAAAAAGGTGCAAATTCAACTCAGTGTTTTATAAAAGAAAAAAAAATATATATATATTTAAAAACAAGAGAAAATAGAAAATAATAAAATTTTTGAAAAACAAAAAAAAAAAATAAAAATAAAAATAAATAAATAAAAAATAAACCAAAAACAAAAAGAGAAAATAAAAAAAATTAAAAATCAAAATAGATTATTTTTGTTGTGGCATTTCATTTTGGATTTCACCAACCCTGCCCACTTGCATAATTTCCACACACACCCCAAGCAAAAAAAAGTGAAATCAAAAAATTCCAATGAATCAAGACGAAGTGCATTTCTTATCAACAGAAAAAAATCCAAATGAATTAAAAAAAAAACAACACCAACTTGGTATTGCCACAGCATCACACTGTGGATGGATGAAAACAGAGGACATCTATTTATTAAATTAACAATTACTGTTTTGTAATGATTTTGCATCCACATTGAATTATTAGATATTTTATTGATGTTATTCTAATTGATTGAGGAATGCCAATAATTTTTATGAATATTGAAAGATTTATTTAAATTTTAATAATATGCTAGACGCATTTTTCCAACCCGAAATTATGGTCCAACTCACCTAAGCGACTCAAAAACCGATACCGAAAATTTCGTTTGGGAAAAATTCGACCAAAAAATAACAACTCGAAATTGTGTTCCCAGACTTTATGGAGTTCACTTCTAGCGTAGCTCGGAATTTTAAATGGATGATTTATTTTTAATTTTAAGTAAAAGCTCCAGCCAAGAGCGAAGTCTTTTCTATGCCTTAGAAAAAATCAAAAATTTTCCGATTTTATCTACATTTTTTTAATATCCATAGTGCGATTCCTTTACTACTTCATGGCAGAATTATAGACAAATATGGAAAATTGAGAACTTTAACTTGCTTATAATTTCAGTAACTACCAATTCTGAAAATTTCGACTGAATCAGCGTGTTAAGGGTAAATTAAATTCATTATCTTCCTTGGAAGATTTCAATCGACGGTTCTAGGGCCCCGGTTGCAATTGTATCAATATCCTTCCATACCAACAATATTGCCCGAAATTATTATTTTTTTGTCTTGAAGTCCTTTCCTAGACTCAGACTTCAAGGCCCTGTGTCACACTACAACACAAGGAATACGTAATTTTTAGTTTTTTTTTGCATATTTTACTTAAAAGAGAGAGAGAGACATAGAAATAAAGAGAGATATAGCAATAGGAAGAGAGAGAGTTGAGAATCTCTGCTAAGACCATTTGAAGCAGTTTCGGAATTCTGAATATTCCTTGAAAATATTTTAAAAAATCAAAACTATTCCAAATTTCTACATTGGGCGCCATTTTTATACCCTTAACCATACTATTAACTTTTTCATTCGAAATACTCATGTCAGACCCAAAAAAACGTATATTCTTGATCAGCGTTCAGTTCTAAGACGATTTAGCCATCCGTCTGTTGTAATCACGCTTGATTCCAATATGACATGTGACAGGAAGCTAAGATTTTACATAGAATTGTATTTTGTCAGCAAGCAGGATAAGTTCGAGGATGAGCTATATCTGTAAACGTTTTCATATAGCCCCATATAATTGTACCTCCCATATTCGGCATTTTCCACACTTCTAAAGGAATAGTTTAACGATTTAGCCATGTCCATACCTCTGTTATAATTACGCTAGATTCCAAATGTCATATCATATGAAGCTGAGATTTTAAATAGAATTGTCTTTTGTCAGGCAGGCAGGACAAGTTCGAAGGTATTAACCACACTTTCTAACGGAATAGTTTAAAATTTGGTTTTTAGAGGTAAAATGGGTTCCCGTGGCAGAACATTGTCTATATGGATCCACGTTTTTGTATAGCCCCCATATAATTGTGCCCTCCGATATTCACTATATTGGCCATTTTAGCTAAAATTCGGAATTGAGAGTTCATAACAGATAATACCCCCTGTGGCAGAATATATTCTATATAGATCCACGTTTTATGATAGTCTCCATATAACGTAACATATTTGGTATTTTGAAGATTATAGTCAAATTATCTGAGGGAACTACTTAAAATTCGATACCTGGGATTCGTACAGGGGTTTACTAATGTAGCAGATCCATTTCCATATATGAAAGTTTTTCTATAGTGGAGGCTTTTTCATAAAGTGGAGGCTACTTTTGTATATCCTCAGCCATATGGCTAGAGAGGGTATATAACATTTGATACGGCCAAAATGTACCTTATCGAAATAGCGGTTTTAGACCCTAGGTCTCTTTGGACCAAATCCGTTTCAGGACATTTGGAGTCGATCTAGTGATGTCCGTCGGCCTGTCTGTCTGCTAGTGCACAAGATAACTCACTCCCTTCTCCGATTTGATCCAAACTTGGTATATCGTAATATTATTATCAAACTTAGATCGAGTTTGGAGATGTGTCATATCGATTCTCTCCTTTTGGTACCTCACCCAAAAAAATGTCGAAATTTTGGAAAAAATATTTTACTTCAGAGAAAGAGAAAGTATAATCCGATTTTGCTCGTACTTTGCGAATCCTAATATTTTCATCAGTGCTAGGTCAGGTGAGAAAATTGACAATATCGGTCCACTCCATCGACTACCTACCCCACAAAGGTTCAAAATTTTGAAAAATTATAATTCGCATAAAATGTGATATAAGATTCCA